CCACCAGGCAGCTTTCCAGCCACTCTTCCCCGAGCCTGTAGCGCTGCATGGGGTTGTTGTGACCGAAGTGCAGGACCCGGCACTTGACCTTATTGAACCTCATACAGTTGGCCTCGGCCCATCGATCCAGCCTGTCCAGGTCCCTCTGCAGAGCCCTCCTCTCCTTGAGCAGATCAACACTCCCACCCAGTTTGGTGTCATCTGCAAATTTACTGAGGGCACACTCAATCGCCTTGTCCAGATCATTGATAAAGATATTAAACAAGACCGGCCCTAGAACTGAGCCCTGGGGGATGCTGCTTGTGACCGGCCGCCAACTGGATTTAACTCCATTCACCACGACTCTCTGGGCTTGGCCATCCAGCCAGTTTTTAACCCAGCGAAGAGTACACCTGTCTAGGCCATGAACCGCCAGCTTTTCTAGGAGAATGCTGTGGGAGACTGTGTTGAAGGCTTTGCTGAAGTCCAGGTATACAATATCCACAGCCTTTCCCTCGTCTACCAGGCGGGTCACCTGGTCATAGAAGGAAATCAGGTTGGAAAGGAGACAGTGCTCTAATGAGGCTTGAGGGACAGGACAGAACATGGGTTGGAGCCAGGGCTAGTCATAGAGGGAGAGGGAAAAGGGAAAAACCTGGGAGAGACAAGATACTAAGCAACTCCTAGAAGTACAATTGGAGATTGAAAACGTCATATTTAATTTTAAAAAGAATAAAAATCTTTCAGAAGCCTAGTACAGAACTGTTAGCAAAATGACACATAATGGTAGCGAAGTTAGTAATTCAAGAAAGTTACTTACGCTGGTGGACTGTCTCCGCAGTACTTGCCAATTCTTTTAGCATCATTGACTTCCCCACCATTAAACACTGCGACATAGTCATATCTGCAGTAGTTGTCTCTCTCCACATCAAACTTCTCAAACTTTAACTCTATTAGCTGCAGGAAAAGTGTGCATAACTCATTAAAGTTTTGATATGCAGAATTATTTAGTGCTTCTTGTAGTAAGTGACCTCTTCATATGAAGTACTAATTGATTTTTCTTTCCATAAAGGAAAAGTCCTTAACCCACGTAATTGTGGTGGAAAGTATTTTAATCCACATGACTTCTCTCCAACAAATAGTTCAACATATGACTCTAATATTCTATAAAACATTTTGTTCTCAAATATAGGCAAGTAATATCTGATAACGTTATTTTTATGAGTGAATGAAAACAGGATAGTAGGAGTTAGGTGTTATGTTGCTTTTAAAATAACTAACAAATCTAAAACACAGAAAAGGGGCTTTTAGTGTCATTGTATCATTCAAGATACGTTAAAGAAAAAGCAAGGGCAAAGTTGCTAAGAGCCATTTTGCTGACTTCATTAAGACCAGGGTTTGATTCACTGTGGTTGCCAATCCTGCATTCACTTGATGCAGAAATAAAAAGGCCAGAAAAAAAATATTGACAGAAAATTAGTAAGTAGCAAGACTAAAATCAAGATTAAGTAGTTAAAGGAATTATGTTTCCATACACGATTTCCATAAATGTTGGGGCTTTACAAGCCGTAAGTTAGAACTAGTACAACTCTGGTATTACCAGTACTGATGCTATTATCTCCAATATGACTTGTATTTATGGACTCTTCTACTTAAGAAAGAAAAACGATGGACAAAAAACCAAATGAAATTTGCTACTCTGAAATGAAGTCCTGCGGTATGATCCTGTCAGTTATGGATTCTGCAAGCAAGGAAGGAAAACACAACATAACTGCACGATTGAAACAGAGGTAATATATGCATTTAGGTTGCTTCTTTATATGTAGCACAACAGTATTTACATCGCCTTCTAATAAATAGCACAGATGAGGCTTGAATGACAACAGTGAATTGTCTTGATTGTAGATATGCAGGATTTCTCTTTAAAGGACTGTCTCAAAGATATTAAATCTTTTAAGACTATACAAGGAAAAAGGAGTCATTTGTACATTGCATACACTTTATTTGATTTACTGACATAGTAAAAATGTTCTTGTTTTACATTCATAGTAATGATAGCCTGTTATCACTGATGTCTTAGTTTTGCCTGGGTATGCTTTTGCACTATTCAGATGTGTAAATCATAATTTTGTTTCCCATAAAGTATGAGTAACCTAGTGGGACTTGGCTTCAGAGGTAACACTCTTGTTTCAAAAACCTTGTCGTCATGATGAGAAAATGCACTTTAAATGGAAGTACCCATCTGAGTAATACACTTGTGATCAAAAAAGATGGTATAGAAAGAATTAATGCAAGTGGGAGCAGAAATGCTTTTCCCATAGCAGGCAAAAGAGCAGGCCATAATATTTACTTTACTATAGTTCGTAAGTGCACTTTGCACTAATAAAGTATTTCATGATAGAATAGAAGCTCTTCACCATTATGAGAAGCTCCTCTGTCTTCTGTAATAAATGAAGTAATTATTAGTTTGTATTAGAAGCAAAAGAGTGCCTTGTTTTATTGCTCACATGCTTGTGAAAGGGAAGTAGAGACAATGGCACCTAAACTTTGGCAAACAGGAGAGTGAACAGCTTTTCATGCGCACTTGAAGAGAGATGCTTATGCACTACTTCCTCAAAAATGGCTTTTGTCACTGTCAAAATTCTGTCTCATTTGTATGCAGATGACCTCTATTGCAGTACATGAAAAATATGTATTTAGAAACTTGTAGATTTTTGGAACAGGATCTTCAAAAGGCATAAGATATAATGCCGCTATTTTTATGCTTATATAGCCTTTCTTAAATCTTCTCTACCAGATTAGGAACAGGTTTTTAGGCTTATCTAGAGATATTTGGAAAGAACCAAAGTAATCTGCAGTTTACAGATAAGGTTTTAAAAATCACTGCCTATCTATAGGATTGTTAAATGACCTGTATCTAGCAAGCAAGGAATGTGGATTAAAGAGGAGTACAGGAAAGACTAAGCTGACATACTGCTTCAGTTCAAGGGAGAAAATATCGTGGTAAATGGAAAAGTATGAAAGATTTGAAGAATATATTTATCTGGGGCAGCTTTTTTTTATTTGGAGGATTATGGTCATAAGCAGAAGATTAAGAAGAAAGTCAACTTTACATGTAGAGGAATTTAAAAAGCTGGATGTGGTTAAGAAAAACAACCTACCAAACATGCTTGGACGACTAAAACATTCAATCATTGTAGAATTCCTGCCAAGGTACAGAGCAGATGGCTCGGCAACAACCAGAAAATGTGAAGCTAGGATTAAGATTAGCCCTACAATGTAGGGGACACAATTGTGTTTGCCATGTACTGCGAACAGTGACAAATAAGCCCTTTTGGTCTGCCATCACATCTCTTCAGGTCTTAATGAAGTGGTAACATACACTCTCATGGCATCTGCTAATTAAGCAAGCATGTTATGAGATGGAGCCTTCAAAATATGAAATAAAGCAAACTTTATGGAATGTACATTGAAAACCCCTGTGCAGGACACATCTGAATACATTCCCTGCACTGTAAACAGAATAAAATAATTTCTACTTTTAATAAATTTGATCAGCTCTGCCTGGGTACCTCAATAACAAACTGCAGCCACACTGAAAATGCTACAAATGTTGTTAGACTTAATCCTAGTATTGGTCATCATCATGTCTGGTCCCAAGATGATCACCTGCCTTATCTCAATTTGCATGATATTTTATTAACAAAATCATCTTCAAAAAAATCTGGTTTTAAAAGCCTCACCAGTCACAGATGCTTTAAAAAGTTTAATTTAGGGGAATGTAGCTATGCACAGAAGAGGACATAAAATGTTGAGAAAGCACAGAAGTTACTGGAGTGAGACAGGTAATACATGAGAGGAAGGTGGGTACCGCTGGAGCGTGGGTGTGCCTGCGCTCCTTGCACGCACCCAGCTTTGCATTTCAGCCAGATACACCATTTTTATGGTTTTGGTGCAACAGAGGCAGCGTGTTGTGCGAGCAGGCTGTTGATGAGGTGTTAGTCCTTGCAGGCAATGGAAGCTGGGCCACGCCAGCGGGGTGACGGCAGTGCCTTACCTGGTTCTTTGGGGCAACGATGTGCCAGGAGCAGGTGACTCCCGCTGGGTAGTCTCGCTCTGGCCAGTTGGGCGTTTGGAAGGACCCCGACGGCTTCTCCAGTCGTCCCCCGCAGTACTGATCCCCTGCAAGTACAGCGCACCATGCTGACTGGAGCGCAACAGGGTCACCCACATAACGCCCGCGTCTTGCTGCAGGGGCCTCTGAGGGAGACAGGGCCGGGCCCAGCCGGTTCCGGCCGCCTCTGCCATGGCCCCACCACAGGACACGGCTGAGCCCTGCAGCTCAGCTGGTGGCACCTCTGGGAAAACGTATTTACTAAAGTGAAGAAAATGCCAGGTGTTGACAAAGAGGGTGGTAAAAAAACAAGAGCGAGAAACATTCCTGTGAACACCAGGGTCAGAAGAGGAGGAGCTGCAGGTGCTGAAGCA